GAATGTCTGCGGGATTTACTCCTGGTTACGATGTGAGAGAAGATGTTTATATCGATACTATCGACGCGCACTACGAAGATATACAATCTGTAAATAAGTTGGACGTTACACACACTTTGCGTTGTCACAAACATATAGCGAATTGTGCTTTACAAAAGGTTTTTAAACTATACAATTGGTGGTCCAAGCATAAGAAATAAATATGGAACAACTTGTGTTTTTACAAAAAAGAAACTGTATTTTAATCTATTCAATTGGTGTAACCATAAAATAAACATATACTTCTATCAATATGACCTTAATTTCGTTTTTTACACGTATCCTATACTTCTTTCCGTTTACGCGCTCTCCTTTCCACACCGCATACGTTAAGATCCCCACGCCCGTTACATTCGAATTTGTTTCTAACTTATACGTATGCTGCGCTACTATTGGTGTTTGAAAAGGTTAAAAGGGAGAATTATCCCTTCCTTCAAATTTTAAAATTATTATGCTGAAGCCGTACGCGTCTGTACATGTTCAGTATTGTATCAGTTAGTCGAGCGAGAGGTTGATTTCGAAACCAGCAGCAGTAGCAGCAACTACAGCAATGTACTCAGCTGAGAGAAGCAACAAACGTATGAATTATTACATTCCACTTCAGGGGTGCGTTCGAAAACAACACCCGTGTGTATTACATCACACTCAGTTCGTTCGAAAACACCTAGTGGGCACACTGGACATACATCCGTGGTCGTTCTAAAACCTTACCCCGTAGAACATTTGTGTGACTTTTCTCCACTCCCTTTTATGAGGTGGGTTTCGGTGGACAGTGAGGTGATAGAGCGCGGAAATTAAAAGAGCTGTCAGTGTCAATTGCACACAAATGGCAAACTTAATTCCAGGTCGTATATTTTGTGTGTGGATGAAGAGGGAAACCCTCAAAAGGATAACAAGGGAAACTTCTATATGTGGGATGTTATCGGTAAGGAGAAATAAACAGGATTATACATTTTCTTAGCACTTAGCTAGGTTAGATTTCTTGATATATTTGTCATTTTGTGTCGTATTGAAGTTGTGACATTTATTTGATAGATGATCAAATGTGTATGGCTAGCGATTGCGAAAATTTACAAAAATTTCTCAATATACCTTCAGATGAATATTCTTCATCACCTTCTTCTGGTAAAGACTTTTTCTTAATTCATTATTGTTGTGTTACAAGTTGCTAAAAAACACACTATTTATACTTATGTAAGGATCAGTATGTTTTATGATTTTCCTACAAACATTATTTACAGTATCTATAGATATACCTGAAAACCTTTCATCTGTACAAGAATGTGACAACTCAATGGTGTCTGAAAAATCTGTATCTGTAGAAGTGCCTGTAACATCAAAAGAGACAGCAGTGAAATGGAAAGGGCTTGATTAAACTATGGCAAGATCATGAATCGCTGTTTAAAAGTTCTGTAATGAAAAATACGGAAGTGTGGCGGATGATTTCTGAGAATCTGCGAAAAATGAATCCTAACTGGATTTTCACTGCTGTACAATGTGAAAATAAGTTCAAAGACCTCAGAAGACATTACATGGCAACAAAAGACCACAACGCACAGACAGGTGTACAACCTAAAACGTGCAAATTTTATGAAGAAATGGAAGAAGTACTGAGTATGAAACCAAACGTTAAACCTGTTGCTATTGCATCTAGTCTGAAGAGACGTTCCTCTACTATTGAATGTGGCCGTTCAACTCCACAATAAGGAGAAACATCTACAGAAACATGTGACAGTAGCGACAATGATGATAAGAAAATCAGAATAGATAGGAAAGAGAAAAATAAGAAAAAAACGAGAATGGAACGTGAACTAGAGGCTTGGTCATTAGCTAATCAAGCTGAACTCCAAAAGAGAGAAGAAGCGCGAGAAAAGTGACACCAGGAAAGTATGGAGAAAAAGGAAAGAGCCATTAAAGTTTATGAAAGCTTTATGTCCAAGCTTCTCGATAAACTCTAAATGTTGTATTCTCTATGGCTGCGTTTCGATATATATTCTATAAAAGTACTATCTAAGTATTATCTAAGAAATTTTCTTTAGTTTTGTTCAAATAATTTTAAATTCTGAAGAAGATATATAATATAACCTTATTATTAGTTGCATTATTCTAAAGGCCAATGTCCACGATGCTAGAACTTGGTCCAAGTCCTTGGTCCGAGAAACGTATAACCAATAAAATTGTCGCTTTTCCGTAAAAGCTACAAATTGATTGGTTACAAATTTTTCAATCCAAGGACTTGGACCAAGTTCTAGTATCGTGGACATTGGACTTATGATAGTGATCTTTATCTTACTAAAGTATAATTTAGTAGATAGTGATTCTTTATATCCAAAGTATGGTTCATGTTTTTAGTTTACATAATACTGTGATTTATGTATTTAAGTTACTTGTAAGTACAGAACTGAACAAAATGTGTTAATTGAAGTTAAGTCTGATTTATAATTACCTCATATAATAATATACCTTTTGTTATACTTTAATTAATAAATAACTTTAATGTAAATTTTATTTTATTGACACAAATATTGATATTTCATATTTAAAACATATATTTACATTACAACTTATTGACAGATCCAATTTGTAAAATTTTAGGATACAAGGGTAACTAAATAATGACGCTTTGTTAACATAGGTCCTTTAAGATATAAAATCAATTAGAAATTAAAGAGGCCGTTTAGGACCGGGCATAGGTGTAAGTAGCCAGTTAAATTAAATTATTTAAGTGAATTCATATACCGTATTCTTTTCCAACTTATCCTGTGCGCCAGTTACATACTAGTCTTAAAACACAGGTTAATCCCCGTAAGTGGAAGTGTTATCGTCAGTGAATTCACGATTATAAATTATTTTAATAATGCTACACAGTAGCATCTAATATGATAACCCCCTTTCCCCCCTTTTCCCCTTAATAAAAATCTTATTGCGAAAAATATTACCCCAGCCAGGATTCGAACCTGGGACCTCCCTCAATCCGTGCGGGTGTCTTAACCAGCTCGACTACTGAGGCTGTAGGTAATATTGTTCGCAATAACATATATAAACTTTGTAAACGCTCTCTAGGCCAGCGTGTATAAATACTACAATTTTAACATAGGTCCTTTAAGGTATAAAATCAATTAGAAATTAAAGAGGCCGTTTAGGACCGGGCATAGGTATAAGTAGCCAGTTAAATTAAATTATTTAAGTGAATTCAGAGAGTGTTTACAAAGTTTATATATGTTATTGCGAACAATATTACCTACAGCCCCAGTGGTCGAGCTGGTTAAGACGCCCGCACGGACTGAGGGCGGTCCCAGGTTCGAATCCTGGCTGGGGTAATATTTTTCGCAATAAGATTTTTATTAAGGGGGAAAGGGGGGAAAGGGGGTCATCATATTAGATGCTACTGTGTAGCATTATTAAAATAATTTATAAACGTGAATTCACTGACGATAACACTTCCACTTACGGGGATTAACCTGTGTTTTAAGACTAGTATGTAACTGGCGCACAGGATAATTTGGAAAAGAAAAAATACGGTATATGAATTCCCTTAAATAATTTAATTTAACTGGCTACTTACACCTATGCCCGGTCCTAAACGGCCTCTTTAATTTCTAATTGATTTTATATCTTAAAGGACCTATGTTAAAATTGTAGTATTTATACACGCTGGCCTAGAGAGCGTTTACAAAGTTTATATATGTTATTGCGAACAATATTACCTACAGCCTCAGTGGTCGAGCTGGTTAAGACACCCGCACGGATTGAGGGAGGTCCCAGGTTCGAATCCTGGCTGGGGTAATATTTTTCGCAATAAGATTTTTATTAAGGGGGAAAGGGGGGAAAGGGGGTTATCATATTAGATGCTACTGTGTAGCATTATTAAAATAATTTATAAACGTGAATTCACTGACGATAACACTTCCACTTACGGGGATTAACCTGTGTTTTAAGACTAGTATGTAACTGGTGCACAGGATATGTTGGAAAAGAATACGGTATATGAATTCACTTAAATAATTTAATTTAACTGGCTACTTACACCTATGCCCGGTCCTAAACGGCCTCTTTAATTTCTAAATGACGCTTTGCTTCACCATTTGCATCGTTTCTAATAACCTCCTCCTCCTCAAAAATTTCATTATTAGGTGTATCATCATGCCCTTCAGCAATAAAATCATCAATAGTATCATGTTCACCATTGAGACATATGTTGTGAAGCACGCAACACGCTATTATGGTAAAGGGAATCATTTCATCTCTATTCATGTCCAGGTATTTTAATCTCCTCCATCTTCCCTTCAGCAGAGCGAAAGCTCGTTCAATTACTTGTCTCATTTTAGAGAGAACCTGATTGAATTTGTCTTGAGCCCGTGTCAAGTTTCCAAAGTTACGGAAAGGTGGAATACACCATGTCAAGCAGGGTATGCTTTGTCTCCAATAATGAATTCCTGATCAGGGAAAAATGCCTGCTTATTTTCTTGAACTGCGTGCTATAAATCTGAGTTTCTAAAAACTCGTAAATCACCAACAGAGCCTGCAAAACCAGCAAAACAATCTGTGAAGTTAAGCTGAGAATCACAAACAGCTTGGAGAGTGACGCTGAACCGCTTCTTCCTGTTGATGTAGAATTGACAATTTTCCTACAACATACAAAATGTTTCTTCAACTGACAAAAATGTTTTTAAATTTTTTAGTACATTGTGTATTATATTATTCTTACTTTAGGACCTTTTACTTCAATATCAGTACCGTCAATTGCACCAATGACATCAGATAAACCATCATTTCCTCTCAATTTTTCTTTTATATACAAAAGCTTACTACCAGTTGGCCAAACAATTACATCACCAGCAATGTCATTGAAAGCTTTGATGACACGCATGAAGCAGTTACTCAATGATGACTTGCCTATACCAAAGCGGTCAGCTACAGATCTAGACAAGAAAATAAATAAATGACTACTTCAATTTTTCTACAACACTGTAATAATGAATAATTGATAATGACATGATATTTTCTTCATCTATATGAGTCTAGAGTTGCTAGCAGCCATAAAACAGACAGTAGTTGATTTCTTACCGGTATCATAGGTCGACCTGTATCATTCGTAATAAATACTAACGGACTCAACCGCGATTCTAAATTCTCAAAAATGCTCGGAATCATCCGAAAATGCTCGCGAAATGCTTTATTAGTCATCCTTGGAATCGTATCCAATATATAACCTTCATACCGTGCTTGTGTCTTTCTTTTACCCCGAATTCTTAATCGCATTTTATACGATGCAAAATCAAATTCTTCCTCATCACTTTCACTGTTACTACTGTCCAACATAACAATTGCAATAATTGGTCAGAAGCGACTACAGCCAATGTTAATATACGTTTCCGACGAACAACTTCATCTGAAGCAGCCATTTTTCTTTGTAAACATTCTAGCAACACACTGGCTGTTCAATAACTCTCAGTAATAAAAGTCCACCAACCCCACCGAGCTTGTCCCCTACATCCACCACACGACATGAACATGGAGTTTTCGAACGCACCCCAGGATGGTGAAACTCCACCGTTAAAAAAAACGTCCAAGTTCTCTTTAAGACATTTTTATTTTATAAATAGTAAAATTTTAACTATTTAAGGCA